TCAATATTTGATCATTCAATATTTGAAGCATTTTCAAAAGTAATACAGAAATTAATACCACAATTTAATCATTTAGAAGATTTACTTAATTATCTTATATCAGCATCAAATATGGAACAAGCATTTTTATTTGATATACAAACAAAAATAAGTATTGCAACTGATTCATCACCAACTGATATACAAGTAAGTTTAAATCTCTATAGAAGAAGAATTTTAATTATTTATTTATTTATTTACAAAGATGTATGAATTATGTTGTGATATGATTGATTTATTAATTAATGTGAGTCAAATATATGGACGATCAAATGATAATATTATTGAAGCTATTGAAGATGATGAAAATGAAGAACATGTCGCAAGTAGTATTCATGAATCAACGAATTCATATTCGAACAGTAATATATTGAAATAATTTTCTAAAAAAAATAATTAGCAAATCTGTCTTGGTTTATTAGGCTCACTAAGTACAAGACTTATGAGGAATTCTTGCTCTTCAATAATTGTAGCGACGGATGAACCCTCATCAAATGTATTTGATTCAATGTCATCAAGTGTTATAAAATTAACTGGTGGTCGAGCACTTTATCTCAAAGAAATAAATCGTCATCTAGCATTAATAGGTGTTCTACGTGAAGAAACACTTTCAAAACAATCTATTATTGAATATAATGTTAATCAATTAAAGAAAAGTATTTTAGAATTATTTCATTTAACTTGTCAGACATCTGCATCTTCTCTAATATCATAGAATGTTTGTTGTTTTTATACAAACCAAAAATCAAAAACAAGTGTGATTTATATTTTAGTTGTTGTTTCTATCCCTATCTTACCAATTTATCAGGAATTCATGTTTGAGTTATTTTCCTTTATTTCTAAAGCCTTTTGTGTTATATTTCACATTGCTAAGCATTATTCTTTTGTTTATGTAAGGTGTCCACAATTGAAAATTTCAGCAAATTAATTTTTTTTGTTATAATTGGATAGAGTTTATCGAGTTTCATCGGAAAAAAATATATTTCAGATTTTTCAAAACTTTTTCATGAAGAAATTTGGAAATACTGTTATATACTGAAATAAGAAAAAATGAGCCCCAACACTGATTCGTGTGGCCTATTTTTTTCTTCTAAACTAGATTATATTTTTTGGATCGAATATTTTTCTGTGTCACTTAACATTGAACCTAAAAATATAATAGAAAATTTGGTATGTGGCATTACTCACATATTGTACGATCAAAATTAGTTGAACCTGGCCCATACATTCGGAATGAATGTACTATAGTTTCCAAATGCTACTACTTTTATATGTGAACATATGGAACTATTCCTTCTATGTCATTCTAACCATCATACTACTAGGAAAAGTTATGTACCGATTCTTTTTCATCCAATGTATTGCTGGAAAAATTTGATGCTTTCAATATCATGTTTTTCATTAGAGAGAGTTTTTTTTTGATAATATCAGTAGCTTTGGCGTAAACTTCAATTATAAAGCAATATGAATTCCAGTGAATATACTATTTTATTGTGTTTTTGAACAGAGAAAAAGTTGTGTCGCTGTTTATTAGTATAGCTATAACTGATTTCGTTAAATTTTTCATCAATAAATATTTCGTTTATTATTTTAATGCCAAGAAACAAGAAGACAAAGGCTCAAAGATCATTTTGACGGTTTTCTTATATTCATCTTTCATATGCCTTCATTGAACGCCCCTATCATTCAGTTCCGAATAGGTTCCGATGAGATGGAGTAAACTTCAGTGATTAGAGATCAACTAAAAATAGATCATTAGTTCTTAAATTTTAAGCATCAGCAGGATATTTGTTCGAGAACAATCATATGTTTTATAGTATACCATATGGATGCTTCAAACTATATATTCATGAATAAATAAAATTATTAATTGTATTTTTCTGTTATAGATTATAAAATTGAAATATTTATTTCAAGTTAAATTTAACATAAAAAATTTTTTTTTCGCTCAAATTGTTCAAGTGAACTATATTTCAGGTAATTTTACCGTTAAAATTATGCTTTTCTTTTCTCTGTTGTAGATTATTCCAACGAAATATTTATTTCAGATTATATTTAATATAAAAATGTTTCTTTCTTTCAGATTCTCCAACTGAACAATGTAGAAGGTAATTTTATTTTTAAAATTATGGTTTTCTTTTTTCTGTTGTAGATTATCCAAGCGAAACATTTATATCAATGTGGATATCATAATTAGCTTTTGCTTTACTTTGGATTCTCCAAGTCAACAATCTGGTTATAGCGTAGTTTTATTAATAGTTGGGAAGTGCAGTTGATTTGTTGAAATATTGGGTATTTATGGATTTGTGTCAAGTTGATGAAGCCAGTTTCTTCGGCTTGAGATACTTCAGTTTGGTTTTGAGTTTCTTAGTTGGTTCTGTGGGATTCCAATCTCTACAGCTGGGACCAGGCGGCTGGAAAAAACGCACTCGATTTGTACCCAATGCTGTTTTGAGAGAATCCAGCTAAATTGAGGTCAATATCGGATACTGTGGGAGGGCTTGTGATGAGTCTCATGCAACTATTGTGTTATAACTTTAGAGACCAGTTTCTATGAAATTTGTGCTACGAAACCTCGTCTTCGAAACCTTTTTTGTGGTTTGTTGAAATTAGTTTCGTACCGAACCAGTTTTGTACGAAACTTAAAAAGGTTTAGAATTCGTTTCAAAATTCGAAACCTTTTTAAGTTCGGTACGGTACCTTTTTTTT